ATTGTGAATCGAAAATTCATTGTAATTCTTGAATGCAAAGAAATTATAATTGGTTTTTTTACTAAGTGAAGTTGATCATTATACACACACAATAAAGATGATAACTTAAATTGTTTTCTACCTATTGTGCCCTAAGATATGCAGCTGCTGCTGATTAAAGATGAGCTAATTATATTCTATCCCAAAATTGCATCTTGAGATGCTTTTCTTGATAATTTGAATTTAGTATAAACCCATTTTGAATGTATTTAACTTCCTAAGGGCCTGTTTTGTATACAATTTTCTGGAAAAACTATATAACTCCTCTTTGGAAACTGTTATTGAGTGTAATTGCTATGTCGTTGCAATATTCTTCCCCAAAAGTTGTTGCTCCTAGAAATTGCTATCGAGCCTTTAGGTAACGACTGCTCTGAAAGCTGTTGGCCCCCAAAAACCACTACTAGGGTTGATGGTAAGTTCCAAGAGCAACAGCTCCTGAGACAGTTGTTTCCCTTAAAATCGCATACTAGATAGACCCTTAATTGAGGGTGTGGAATTAGAGAATATTATTGAGGAAGCTAGAAATATATAGGAACTTAATTACACCTAGGACAAGCTAGGAGAGGGATTGGACTATAGCTAAGATCAAGTTTCAATGGAGATCAAATTGTTTTGTAAAAAGAAACTTAAATCTCAAGAAAGGTTATTTCGTCATGTTGGTTTGTATCTGACTTAGAGATTAATGAATTAAGCATATTTGTCTTCTCGAATGTCGATTTTCCACAATAATGTTCTACATCTACGGGATTAATTAGCACATTTATTCTCCCTATGTAGGATGAATCTTGGGCCGGCGGCCGCAATAATCAACTTGATCAACGTTTAAAACGCTCTAAACATTTTATTTATATTTTATACATTATATTTTTTTTTATAAGCAATACATTTAAAAATTTGTATTTTCAGTTAACACTTTTTTATAATTTAAAACTTAAAAATTTTAAAATTAACAATTAAATTTTTTATTTTCACCTTAATTTTGTTAATAATTTAAAATTTTTTATAAATTTTAAACTATAAAAAATATTGACTAAAAATAAATTATGTATAAAATATAAATAGGGGTTTGGTCCTTTATAACGTGCATATATAACTCATTAGAAATTAAACTTTATTTTTTGGTATAATAAGAGGTAATTATTATTTTTTTCATTTCATTTATATATTATACGACTCAAACTCATAATTTTTTATTTTTAATAAAAAAATAACTATTAAATAATTTAAACCAATAACACTATAAACTAAACTTTGAAATTGGATAATTGATTAATTGGTCATGAGAGTTTCTGGATTCCAACTAAAGAAGAAAATAATTGTATCGTATGCGACAAGATAAGCAAGCGGCAGGCTGCTTTTCAACTTAATCAAACCGCTATTCATGTGAGAATTAGAGAACAGTTGCTTTCCAATTTGCCTTCAAAAAAACACCGATCATTTACGTCAAAATTAAGAAATTCGAGAATTATTTTGAACCTTTGCCTAAAATGCAATTCTAAGTCAATAATGTACACTGTGCATTGATCTCTGCCAACTAAATCAATCTCCAAATGCGTTTCTGTCGCGAAATGTCTTCGGAAAAAAACTACAAACAGTGTGGGTTCATTGAACTCCCCAGTACTTAGGGGGTCCCATTTAAGAACCCTTTTGGTAAGATAGTGACCCTCCTAAATGCATGGAAAATGACAAAAACCATGTAGTCAAAAAAATTTTACAATTATATATATATATATATTTTTTTACAAAAGTAATAATTAATAATTAAATTAAAAAATATTAGCATTGGAGGTTTGATCCCTAAAATAAGTGATCTTCTACTCCTCATTGAGACGCGTGGCCTATGGAGCTGCATGGTGAAGTTCATTATTTTTTTTCTTTTGAACAACACACAGCTGATGAATATAAAAATCTCCAAAAATATTTTTCAGTTTAAAT